AATTGGCACCAATGACGTCATATTGCAAGGGGCATAAGCCAGGGTGTGTTTATTATGGAAATAGAACTGTCTGTAAATGTGAAAAATATGAACCGATTTTATGAATAAAATAAATTAGATACGTGTGATGTTTTTATTGTTTTGCATCCGAAACTACTAGGTAAATACTTTTCATGATGAAAAAGTACAAGAAAAATAGGTTTATTTTCGTGTGAACTTGCCCTTTAAAGTATGTGAGTTACGATAACCTTAGCACTACGATAACTTTGTGGAACGGATGCCTGAATTCTAAAGGCGGGCCGTGGTGTGGTATTAAATTAATGTATCAACGTTTGACGTGTTTGAAGTATAATTCTGTTCAACTCAGTTGGATTATGTTGTGGATTGTGTTGGTGTCTGCCTATTCATACAAGACAGTGAAATTCTAAAAAAAAGTTATAAATGGCAAGTAATAAATAAAATACAAAACTCACTCAGTGTAATACCAATTTTTTTAAACCCGTGAATAAATCTCGTAAAATACCAGAACTATTCACTTGTTTCATAAAATTGGTATTCCTCGGGAGCTTGTTTAGTATTCTATGTTCATGCATGGATCACACTGGTGTAGAAGGCTTCCTCCAAGTAGTGTAAAACGTTTTCAAAAGCATAATGTTGGCCAGAAAGCTCTTTCAATAAATGTGGAAAAGGTTGAAATTGGCGCCACACCTGGCGAATGGCATGTTGAGCTGTTTTCCTGGTCTTGGCTCTCCTTTGCCCTCTTGAACCCCGCCGCCAACCTCTTAACACTGGCAACGGAAGGAGCATCATCGCCTAAAATTGACACACCCCTGATTGCTGTTGGGGTTTTATAGTTGATGACAGAGTGGTAGCCAAGTTTGTCCATGTTCAGCAACAGATAAAACCAAGTCACTTTGATGCTTGCAGAACCATTCTGCCTGGTTGAGTACATGGTTCAAGTGCAGCCTGTAAACATGGAAAGTATTGTATTGTAAGGGTGTACTATACATCCTTCGTCTTCAGGCTCAGAACCTTTCAGCCTCATATGCCTAAAGTATAAACTGGAAAAAGTAAATTCTGGGGGAAAAGTAATTGTTCTTTTAAGTGAGTATTGTTTTATGCCGCTTTAAGCAATATCACGGTGGGGAACACCAGAAATGGGCTTCACACCCATGTGGGGAATCTAACCCAGGCCGTGTCGAGCGAATGCTTTAACCACTTGGCTACCCACCCGCCCCTGTTCTTTTAACCAATAATTAAATTAAATTAAATTAAATTAAATTAAAGTTGTACTAGGATGCCATTAGTCAGATAAATGAAAAGTCTGGGTAGGCCTACAAATTGTTTTACCCATTTAGATTCATAGATAAGAGCCTCTTATCATGCCTCAACTGACAAGGACTGGACCTTTATCTTTAATCAAACACTTAAATGTCAGACGGAATGTGTGTATAGTCAGAAACATTTTACTGCATGGGAACTGACATAGCGACTTCTGTAATCATAGAGGAAATGTCCTTTTCCATTGTTACAATTTACTGATTTATTATTCAATATATCACTTGACTAAACATGGGTATGGATAGTCCTGTTGGTATCCAGGTCTACTCAGGACACACCCTAGTCGGGTGCTAGAGTAGCCTTTCAGCCCTAGTGTCAGGGCCCGATGACACACAGTCTGCTGGGTCATAGAGTAACAGCTGAAATATATGTTCTATCTTTGTGATCAACAACCCTATTCATAGCGGGAATATTGCTGAGTGCGGCGTTTAACAACAAACAAACATTCTCCACCCAAGTATGTGACCACCAGATACCCACCTCACACAGCTTTTAAATATAGTAGATATATAGCCTTCATGGACATGACTATTGTTCATATCTTCCTTATGGTTAAGCAATAATTGTTATACCACACCCCTTCCTGCATGTCCTGCTACTTAGTGTAACATTGTGGTAGTTGGGCGATGACTGATGATGCTGTGACTAGAATGCAGGGTCAGTAGTCTGTGTGCCACTTGTTGACATGGCTGATAATATAGTACCTGTATACAACTGTAGCTCATTATTCGATAAGCATGACTTAAGTCGGTGACTCTCCCTAGAAGTATATCAACAACCTGCTTCATCACAGATACAGCATATGCTAATTTTAGAATACAGTTTTAAACGCTTGGAGGCTTCTAGTAGTGCAGGGATCTTATTACCTCCAATAACCTGTGAAGATCCGGGTTACATTTGATCTTCAGCAGCCCAAGAGGTGACTAATGGGATCGGGTGGTCAGAATCAGTGATTTGGTTGATACATGTCATTGTATGGATCGATGTTCATGATGTCCATCACTGGTTTGTTTGTTGTTTTACGTGGCACTCAGCAACATTCCAGCTATATGACGGCGGTCTGTAAATAATCCAGTCTGGACCAGACAATACAGTGATTGATATCATGAGCATCCATCCACGCAACCATCACTGGTACTGTACTGGAGTATAGTTATGCAAGTATGGGACATGCTTCCCCATTGGTTTTCATGACATTTGAAACCATCCCAGGGTTTTACACAAGGGGAAGTGTTTTATCTTCCTTACAAACCAAATGAAAAATCTGAAACAACATCTATAAGATTTTATGTTTCAAACATATTTTCTGTGAATGTGAGGACACGGACATAGATATCTATTGCTGGCATACATTGCCTTGGGTCAGGGGGTCATGTCATGTGTGTCTGTGTGGATTGTGTTTAAATGCAAAGTAAATCTCTGCAGGGTTTGCCCTGATGCAGAAGACCTGTGTATTTCCCTCAATCTAAGTAGAAAATACGCAATATGATTTCTCCATTGCAACAGTCATGACGCAGATCATTCAGACTCTCAAAGTCAATTAATTGCACTATACTGCCTGAACGTTGAAATTTGAAACGCACATATACCTTGACAATAAAATACAACTGATATCAGCTTGGTCTAATGTGGGAAAAACTAAAGTAAAAAAATCAAACAGTCTGACTCTCGGTGGAAGCCAATCAGAATTGAGTTTCAATACTTGCCTTGTGGGGTGCTTGTATTTGCTTGAATTCACTCCACATTTTGAAAAGTCATCGTATTATGGCCTTTAAAAAACAAGGTGGTCTTTCACCCTTTTTCCAACAAGTTGGCAGTGGTACATCTGTTGATTCAACAGCAGTATCAAATGAATCTGACAAAAGTACCAGCGACTGTTCAAATGAAGTACAATCATTAATACCGTGGGCTTTTCGGGAAATATTATTCAAGCAAAACATGGTTGTTGTTTTTTACTGTAAGAATCAGTATGTGCATAGTACATGTAGTACCTCAAAGTGCGACATAACATTTTCATGTACAGAGTTATTACATTATATAGCCTTATCAGCCTATATCAATCTGTTATCTGCAAATATTATACAAAATATTGGATGATACGATTTAATTAGATTAACAATTGAGTAAAGAGTAGATAAATTTCTAAAACATGATTTAAGCAGCTGAATTAGAGATACAAGGATATCCCTGGGACAGAGCGATATTCTGTAGAACATCCCTGCTTAGAACAAAAGGGTGACATCACTAGAGGGTTTTCAAAGATATAAGTAGGATAATGGGATCACATCACTGGAGGATCACTTTAAAAGGACAACTATTGCTAGCAGTAGAAGAGTGTCAGCTTCCATCGGGTGTATAGGATGTGTTATCATATACCTATCAATGACATGCGACATTTTGTATGTGCTACAGAGCCAGTATGGAGACAGTCATATCACAGGGGGTGTAATAACCAGACTTGTATTATACCCTCTGCCAGGCTGATATGGCTTTTCATTGCATTTTGAATGGGCTATTGATATCAGCCCGGGTGGTAAAAAAGTGGAGTTGCGTCCCTTAGTGTGTCGTCTGCTCGTCTGCCCCGCTAGCTTTCCTGTGTCAAAGTCTGCAAAAATTATATGGCATTTACTTGCAAATAGATACAGTTAACAAATTGATGTTGTGGTATATGATAAAAAGGTTATATGGCAGTTTTCATATAATAACCAATCGACCCTCGGGCCCTTGGGCTGATATGGGGGCATATAATAACATCTAATTACTGTTCAGACTGTACATGACAAGCAGTTACCATATTTCAGCTCATAATGGGGCCGGTTTAGTGCTAAGGTGACTGTCAATAGCACCTTGCTTCTCATAAGACCTGGGGCAGATAATTATTTGCTCTCTAAATTAGAACAGAATATTTATTATATCAGTAATGATTAAACACTTTTATCTACTGAATGATTGGATTTGAATAATACGACATTCATAGTAATTGAAGAAAATGTTTTATTAACTTTAGTATTTATGATGCCTTCATTAACACCCATTAATATTTTACTGATACAGGTTGGGATGACAGTCGTAGTCCTTTTTTCACAAGCAATTTGCAGAGTTGCGTCCCTTGGGCATGCCAGAAACCTATGATTGTGGGTTCGAATCCCGGTTCGCCCCAATTATGTTTCTAGGTTTGTCAGCACCATACCCGTGCTTGTGGGTTTCACCGAAGTGGTAAACGTCTGAGACCTGCATCACTTCAGGCTTTCCTCCCACATGAAGCTGACACGCCATGATATAACTGGAATACTGTTAAAAGCGGCGTTAAACCCAACTCACTCACTCACAAGCAATTTATTCAACTTTTTCAGAGATTTTGAAAGCATGTTTACATGAGTAGATTTATTATTATTTTAAGTAGTCTTTTCTGTCAACTTTTTGCAGGAGATGATGATGATGATTATGATGATAGTTATTAAAAGCTTATGTAACATTAAGCATCTACAGAATATTTTGTCATCAGAATTACTATGAATCAACTTTTTCTGAATAATCTGAATTTGAATATAGTCTACTTTCATTTGATTCAGTAAACACTGGTAAAGATCAGAAATAAATTTTAAATGTTTCGCAGAAGGGCGTAAAATGAATTGATGATACCTTTTCTGTACTTACAGGTGAATTACCTCCCTTGATCAAAGATGGCTAATTGTGGGTGGCTGTGGAGTTTCATCTGGTTCATTATCCTGATCGTCTTTGGTTGGCCAATCGGATTCTTCTGTGCCGTCTTCTACGTTCTGCTTAGTCCCTGTGCAGCCTGCTGTTCTGGATGTGTAGAACTTATAAATTTATTAGAGAGGGGTGTTAAACTGCCCCTCACATGCGCACAGAACATGGTCAGTGGGAAGTCCATGTGTTGAGCTGGATCACCAGGGCATAATGTGGCAATTCGTAGAAGGATGCTCACGTCTGTAGTCAAATGACTTTCTTCAACCAAGCAAGACAGCTACAAACACAACACCCAACACCATTGACCACTCCAATCACCAATGACATCATCATTAGCATGTTGAAGCGATGAAGGAAGGAATTGCAATTTGACCGGAGGGACCACCCAACTACAGCCTAAGTGAATATTAGTTATCAGTGTAGTCAAAGGTCCAGTGTACCTATATGGATCGCTGTTACTGTTGTAGCTCCTGTTGGTTATATATGCATGTCCCGCAAGTAGAGCGGTAGTGTAGTGGGCTGATTTCAGGATTCTGAGGGATTGGACTGTTATCTAATGTTTATATTATATTTTATTAAGAAATTTTAACTCTTTTAAGTTTGAATCCATGGAAGGAGATTATTGGGAATTAACTATGTCTTATATTCTGATATGTCTTCCTATGTCGTTATGATGATGCCTGTAAAATCAGATAAATATTATAATTTTTACATTAGGTCATTTTTTTGGGATAGAGCATTTTCGGCTTTTATCCAATCAGGGTGATTCATTACGTTCTGTCATCCATAAGTAATTGATATTAAGTGTTATACACTATCATGTAGTCAGGCACAGCTTGATTAATCACAAATAATCAGTAGCTTTTCTTAGTTGGAACGGCTGTTATTATGTACAGTGTATTTTCTTTATGCAAAAATGAGCCTGTTTGCAATATTTTTATATATCTGTGCCTTTTAAAATGAAATAAGGATTGTTTTAGCCAAACATTTATGCATTTAATAACTTGTACTAGTTTTGATATTAATGGTGCTAAGTATGCTGCCGGTATGTTACTGATTCATTGTTACAGATCTATTTCAATAATTAACAAGTCTTTCAAATCTTAAATATTTTTCCTCGATTCGATGGAAACACTTTACCTCAGCCATTGTTGATTAAAACTAGTAGTTGATGTTTGATTGTTAGTGTAAAGCTTGTGCATTGCTAATGTGATTATAGTACTTAGGGCTGCAACAATAGTGAAGACCATTGTTTAGTATGTATGCATATGTCCCAGCTCACAATATGATCCGTATACACTGGGAACAAAAAATTATACATCACAAATCTTTAACCCACTTTAGAGACTCCCTTTGAAGTGGTCAAAGTTTTGCCATGAAATTGCTGGCCTATTTATGATTGGCTATTTGAACAGCATGATGTAGTCTGTTATCCAATGAAACAGCTTGTGGGATAAAGCTGAGCTGATGAATTTATGAATTGACAGCTGCAATGAGGAACAATCTGCTGGATGATTGTTTGTTAGCACTGTATCATGACATGTCTTGAGTCGAGGATCATTGCAATCGTGACCCATTCCACCACTCGTACTTTTACACAAGCATGTATTTTTATCGTCTAGTGAAGTAGTTTTACACATTTCGATTGCTGTAGTTTCGATAAAAGTATGTTACCCCGACATAATTGGTGATCTTGGTGATTGTACATTTGACATCATTTATTGACTCCAATGTATTTTGTTTTCAACTGTAATGTAATATAATGCCGGTTGATATGTTTCACTGCTTCATGTGTTCAGGTTAGTTGCTCAATGTGCATTTAGAGGAAGATACCTAGAACCTTTCAACAAACTCAGATGTGGAATTTACATAAACGTGTAAAGGGCTAATTTCAAGATACTGTTTTTATTCAATTTTCAGGGTGCCAAAATATGTTTGTTATCAGCTTGGTTCCTTTCCACTGAAAAGGGGTGATGGGGTGTCCTTGTGGTTAAAGCGTCCGCTTGTCACACAAACCTGGGTTCGATTCCCCGCATGTGAAGCCCATTTCTGGTGTCCCCCGATGTGATGTTGCCAGAATATTGCTAAAAGCGGCATAAAAACATACCCACCCTCCTCTGAAAATACCAATCCGCATGTCTACACCCTTCATACTCAAGTTGAAGTATATTTCCGCACCTGGTATTGGGCATTCTTGTCTAGCTCTTCTACGTGTTGACAGACGTAAATCTGATTGTGAAGGATGATGTCTTGTGTTGTTGATTGCTCAATGACAATGCACTACCTTTCTATATGCTGCACTTACTCAAGCATGTCATGTTCTTTGTGGCTTGCTGTGGTTTTTTTAATATTGATCCGGGGGGTAATCGTTTGAGTTCAGACCCGTGAAGATTGGGGTAGAGAATAGGTCTTCAGCAACCCATGCTTGCCGTAAAAGGCAACTATGCTTGTCGTAAGAGGCGACTAATGGGATCAGGTGGTCAGGCTCGCTGACTTGGTTGATGCATGTCATCATATCCCAATTGTTTGGATCAATGCTTGTGATGTCAATCACTGGATTGTCTGGTCCAGACTCAATTATTTACAGACCACCATCATGTAGCTGGAATATTGCTGAATGCAGCATTAAACAACAAACAAAACATTTGAGTTCACCTGTTATACAGACTGCTGGAGATTAAACAGAATTACTTGTATTCAGGTATACTTGTCTTGTATCACTCTTGAAATGATATGTACCCAAGATTGGTTGATATTCATCTGTTGGACTTCCTTGTCCCAAACAGCCACAGGAAAGCAAATATTGAATAATATGCACTTCCCCTGTTATGTATATATTCTCTTTTGCTGTCCACTATTCGCTACAGAGCTGATCAGGCTGAAGATACTTGCACTCCAGTGACACCCTTGCTCCAGATATTGCTGCTATCCGCTCAGCTTGTTTTAAATGTGAAATCTCACCAGAAAACTGTTGTTTGTTTTCTGTATGTTATGTGATGATTTAAACCGATTTGTCCAGTGATTGCTTTTACACATCTTTTTTTTTTTTTTTAAATTGATATTGTGTAATCTGTCTACATGTTTATACTGCTTCAAATAAAATCATTTATCTGATTCCGTTTTTGCGTTTTTGTATTATGGTGGGGTTAAACGATTTCCAGATCAGCATCCCACTGTATGGTCAGGAGTAAAGATGGCCGACACTCATGCTGGGAGAGGGGACATGGGTGGCTCTTGTCAAATATGCCACAATTCTCTTGGCAGAATTTGACCGGCATCTCTTATACACCGTCACACAAACTGACAGGCTGTGATGAAACTTAAATATTGTTCCAAGCAGTGTTAAAACCAAACTCCCTCAAACTGGGAGACAAAACTAAACATATAACTGATGCCTTTGTGAATGGTTTATGACCATTCATTTGTCCAGCAAGAGTTATTCCCCTTACATATTTCATCAAGTACCTGTGAGGTGTGGTGAAATGGGGTTAAATGTCATGTCCAAGATTATTTCACTCACATAGCGACGTGCAAGCACGTGTGTGTGTGTGTGTGTGGCTGCTTGTACTAGTCTGGACTAATGCCGATTTTATAGTACTAGCCCACTGACATACCATGCCGCAGTTTAACATGAACACCTGACTCAGACACAGTATACTGACTCAGAACCAACCAGTCCTTGTTTTATCCCTCAATGCAAAGCGCCAGACAGGGTAACAACAAGTACCATCTCTTAACGGCTGAGGTTCAAACCAGTTAATAGTATATGTCAAAGGAAGACGAGACAAAAAAATAGGATCAGAATAGGATATTTTATTTCCTCCCAGAACTTAAAATGTTTCAGTTATAAAAGTTTCTGGAATGACAAACTATTACATTACTACACATAAAATCTCAACAAACAATGACATTAAGTCTGCAACAAATTTTGGCATGTACAAAGCAAACATAATAAACAGTAGTTGAGGTCAAGATGTTTTTTTTTTCTTTTTAAAGCAATTAGTTGAAATGATGTCAGTATCTTTCGAAAACTTACATAAATGTAAAGCTTAACAACATTGAACTGGATGGAGTGAATGTTTCACCTCCACTTCAAGAATGAATGTTTCCACCTATGTTTCCCCGGTATCCATATCCTGACATAATATGCTAAAAAGAAGTTAAGGACCCCTTTCATATTACTATCTGTTGTAGTATGACTGAGTAACAATACTAATATGAAAGAATAGTGAGTGAGTGAGTGAGTGAGTATGGTTTAATGCCGCTTTTAGCAATATTCCAGCAATATCACGGCGGGGGACACCAGAAATGGGCTTCACACATTGTACCCATGTCGGGAATCGAACCCGGGTCTTCTGCGTAACGAGCGAACGCTTTAACCACTAGGCTACCCGACCGCCCCATATGAAAGAATAGGGTGGTCCTTAACTTCTTTTGAGTAGAAACACAAATGGGCATCAATTGTGGGCTACTGTGCAGAGTTTTGTAGATAGGTTTCTTTTCACTTGTTTCACCCAAATATAATTCTTGAAAGGTGGTTATCCTATGCATCCTGTGAAGTGAGCTGGGCGCTCTATAAAGTGTCCAAGCAAGTACTTTGACTTAAAGTCAGCAATCAGTTTTTAGGAATGATGAGATGGGTAAAAAAAAATATTTGGAGTTGTTGATAATATATAGTAGCAGTAGGGGCCAAAATCTGAAGATACTAAGACTTGACATTAGCTACAAATGATGTACACATTACTTTACTTCTTTCATTACATTACTTTACTTAGGATGAATAGATGTGAAGTGTTGAATTCCAACAGTGTCTTCTTTCTGAATGATGGCTTTTAGAAAAACTTTCACTACATATATAACAAAAGAAACTATTGCACAATGAAGTAGAATAATATGTGTCAGGGAAGAAATATTTAACATAATTCAGCAATTCATTTCATTAGCTTCAGTATGCTAACTACATATCCTTACAATTTCCCACCGATTTCAGACTATCAGACCCTGGCCATGCCTGTTGAGGAGCCTGGGGTTCTTGGAAGGAGAACTGTGAACCTCTTCCGGTTTAAACCGAACCAGAGCAGTTCTGTCTTTGAATTAATGACAATGACCTATCACAAACAGACTTGCACCAAAGATTAACGAAAAAGTTATGGACATGTTTGACAGAACACAAATACTTTGAAGAAGTATATTTGAAAGAATCAGGTGGTCCTAAATGTTTTTGAGTAGTAGTCAAACACTGTTGTGTCGAACTTTCCGCTGTCTCGTGGTAAAAGCTTGGTCCCTGCATATTCCTTCTTCATTCATAATTTTTCGAGTGTGTCGAACCTCGGATAACTTCAACACAACAGTGTTTGACTGTATAATGTAGTGAGGCACAGAGAAAAGACCTGTATATGGCAAGAACTAGTCTGCCAGAAGATGTCAACTGTCAAGCTGCATAAGATGTAGAAAATGCTTCTGTTACAGCAGTCACACGTGAGACAATATCGAGGACTAAAACAAGAAAGTGCCTATATACAAGGCAGCGAATACATGCCTATATTACACCATGCTTCTGATCTACAGATTCAGATATAGATAGGAATGGAGCTGAATATGATGTGATAAGATAGTTATGTCACAGAGTGTCCTGTATGCAGAGGCTAAGTATATACATAGAGATGTATGACTGGGTGTACAGAGATAACGTATGTTGAATGAATGTTAAGACATGTTAGGTTGTTGTGAGAGTATGAAGGTGAATGTCTACCACTCAACAGAAGTTAAAGAACACCCACTTTTTTCATATGACTATAGTTAATCAGTCATGGCAGATTAACTATAGTCATATGAAAACATGGGGGTTTCTTAACTTCCCTTGAGTAGTATATATGTAAGATGTGCATGCCTGACATAGATATGACGATGAAGAGCTCGAGAGGATGTGCTTGTGACAGACAGAAGATGATCTATGTTAGCACTTGTGAGGGAAGCCGCTTGAGTTGCCCTCTGACCAGCCAGCTGACATTGTATGGTGACTTGATGTTCGTGATGGATGAGCTGAGATCCTGTACTTAGGTGTTGATCCCTCGTCTATGCATCTGGCTACTGAACTTCTTGTTGGCTCTGTGTTGTGCCATGGCTGCTCGTCTGTCGTCTCTAGCAGAAGTGATAGAGGTTACAATGTGTTACTTATGGAATAAAGCAAAACATTCTAAATATTAAATAAACCGTTCTTTTACAAACCCTCAATCTCTAACACATACATTAGATTAAATAAGAAAAACAAATTCAAACACTATAAGTTGAAGCAGTATCATGAGCCTCTCTGGCTCGTATATAGCCTAACGAGGGACATGAGCCTCTCTGGCTCGTATAAGCCAGTGAGGCTCATGTCCTTCGTTAGGCTATGTACAAGCAAGTGAGGCTCATGTCCCTTGTTAGGCTATATACAAGCTGGAGAGGCTCATATCCTTCGTTGGGCTATTTACGAGCCAGAGAGGCTCATGTCCCTCGTTAGGCTATATACAAGCCAGAAAGGCTCATGTCCCTCATTAGGCTATTTATATAGCCTAACGAAGGACATGAGCCTCTCTGGCTTGTATATAGCCTAACAAAGGACATGAGCCTCTCTGGCTCGTATATAGCCTAACAAGGGACACATAAAAACTACATATACTCCTCATGATCCTGCTACATCAAATTTATCCAACCAGCATGTTTCAATCTGCCATTGTAAAAGAATTAAAACAAATTGAAAATAATAATAAAAGAAAACAGAGGTTAAAGTGGGGATAAAACCATTCCCTCACTCTTTGCATACAATGCTACACTTGGCACACACACTTGACACCTGCCTGTATATAGACTAATTACATACAATGTAACAAGGGTGTCGTCTATCCTGTGTCACACCCCTTGTGTTGGCATACACACTTGACACCTCCCTGTACATAGACTAATTACATATAATGTAACAAGGGTGTCGTCTATCCAGTGTCACACCCCTTGTGTTGGCACACACACTTGACACCTCCCTGTACATAGACTAATTACATACAATGTAACAAGGGTGTCGTCTATCCAGTGTCACACCCCTCATGTGTTGGCAATATCAAAGCCTGATGTACCAACCTAGAGGCAACTTTTGGAGCTTTCATCCCTGAGTTGAGTTGTCCGGCATAGGAAGTATCCCCTACTGGCTTCAGCTTGCCCTTGTGGGCCCTCCATGTTACTGGCCTGGCTAGACTGGCTTTCAAATCAAAGCTGGCCTTCTTGGACGACTTGCCATCAGGCATGGTGGTGTTCAGAGAACCAGTGAACTTGAAAGGAGTGACTGAAGACAAATAGTTGTGATTTAAGAATGGGAAAGGTGTTTGGGCATCTTGTATCAGCAGAATCACAGCAGGTGAGATGAAGGAGAGGCCTAAACAATGCCTTGTAGCCATCCTTGGGAATAGAACCTGTTCTGGATTGGACACTAACTTGCACCTTGGCTCTTCTAATATATTTGGGGATAAGTTGTGAAAGTTTGATTAAATATCATCTTAGTTGTGATGCAGATTGTAGACTTGCACTGTTATTGAACCATCAACCAAGGAATAGAATCATAGTGAATCATGGATTCAATCCCATGACCAAGGAACACTGAAACAGTAAACAGAGCTGCGACTCCCTGGGCCACCCATCCCCACTTTAAACAGTTAGTGTTACTGAATTACACTGAGACAATGTCCAAATTTCACACATACTACTAATTACATAGCATAGACCTAGACTGGAATGGAGCAGTCCTATAGTCCTATAGATTGTCAGATCTTTAAAAGATGTCTCTTTAATTCATTCTGAGTCTGACTGGGCAGATATCCTGTTGTATCTTGTATATATCTAAATCTATCTCACCTCCAGTTGTCTTCTTGGTGGACACGACTCCCAGTGACTTTCTCTCAGGCTTCCTCTCAACTGTGCCTCCCGCTTTAGGTGTCGTCTTCTTGCCAGCCCCCTGTGTGACTGGAGTCTTACCTCCTGGGTTGGAGTTGGGTGTCTTGGCACCAAAATTGGTATTAATGTTTTTGGTCTTAAACACAGTTGGCTTGAAAGGAGTAGGCCCCGATGGGGACTTGAACAGATTGGTCTTGGCATCTGTCGTTGGTTTGGGCTTCAACTGAAAACAGACAAACAAATAACCCTACACTAAAATCTTTTAACATAATTATAAGTTCCAACTTTCATCATTGATCACTGGTTCCATGTGACTGTAATACTGAAATATCCGATGGCTGATTAATGCTGGCCATGTCGAAAGTTCTGCTCCAATGTTTGAGGAAATCATTTCTACCCAATCCCTTTACCAGTGATCATGTACCTGAAGATGCTGAAGAGAAAGACTCTGTTAACTTGAAAATAAATGTGTGAGAAAAGCTGTCATCTTCCCTTCGCTTTCTCACCTTGTTTTCATTGTTTGGTGTTTTCTGGTTTCTCAGACTGTTGATGGTCTTCTTGGACTCCTCCAGAATCTGGTTGACCTTGGTAACCGACTTTGTGATAGACTTTGTTCTCTGTCTCTTCTTCTCTAAGTACACATCAATAGAGTCAAATCTGTCGAACTCCTTCTGATGGACTCGGGTCCAATCCTTGTTACCTGGATTCAACAGAGTAGAGAGTGACAAAGTAACTACAGAGAAACAATATCCTGTGTATTTAATAAACAAACGACGAGTGGGAGTTGTTTATTGTACAATAAAACACTGCAGGGAGAATAAACCATGAGTACCCATATTTAATTAATGATGACTCCCTCAATAGAATCCAACCTCGGCAATGTTGGACAAGTCCATTTTATGTACAGGTGGGTATTTCTCGCATATTCTCACAATCATATCTCTCCCAGTTTGGGATGCGATCGTTCGTCCATCCCATTCATCTGCATTGCCCAGCTACATCTATGGGGAACAACTCACTAGACACTCCCCTCTCAAAACTAACAAAATCATCAAGTTGTGAAAGCATGTTTGAATCTCAAGAAATTACGTCATGTCAGAACATTGTTTTATTGTGAAATAAACCATGCTTCGTCCTTCATTGTTCTTTGCGATTTATTGTGTAGCTATCTTATATTAACTAATACATGTTTGTTAAGTAGTTGCTTACAGGTTTTCTCTCTTTCAAACTGACATGAGGAAATTCAGTGCAGGAGTCTAGTGCTGGTAATCACCCTGAATATTTTTCATAACAATACTGGCTCAATTGGCAGACCAGTGTTCCCGTTTACCGGTAATTACCAGTATTTTACCGGTAAAATTAGGCTTGGACTGGTAATTCATGTGACTGCCAATCCCTGTGGACCGGCAAATAAAGTACCCCATAAATCTCTGTTGAACAAAACATTGGCGATATTCATATAAGTATTTTTTCGACCGAAGTCAGCTTGTCTGTCCATCAGGGTTTCCCCCGTCTATATTTAGTGAAATAACATTCACTTTGCTTTGCAATTTCATCTTTATTTCTTGCGACTTAGACTCAAAATATTTTTAAAAAATAGAGAGAAAATTGTTACTGAACTTTGTGTGTGACGTGCAGATCTATCTGAGTTACTTCAGATATGATGTCATGGCATTAAACCTGATGTTGAAAGAATTAAATCCAGGTAACTTTCATACAGTTTTTGATTTGTTGAAAGTCGGGACTGATTAAAATTTTTACAAACCTGTAGAGGTTATGAATTCTCTGATGAAATCCTCCTTGGGGCACTTATTGCATTTTCCTTGCTCAAGAAAATCTATATGACATAGTTGTAACCATTTTCCTTAATAAAAAATGTTACCACACAAAAAACTTCGTTTTTGTATGATATACGACCACCCTTACGGGGCCTCACCCCCAACGGCGCCTCACGCCAGGGGGAGCAACTCTCACCCAAATCACTTTCCATATGTCAAATGCTGACGGAATGTGGGGAGGTGGGTGGCCGTGCCCCAAGGAGGATTTCATCAGAGAATTCATAACCTCTACAGGTTTGTAAAATTCTCTTTCTGATTAAATCCTCCTTGGGGCACTTATTGCATCAAGACAGACTCCCAAAGATAATCTAGGAAGTGGCATCCGTCAGCAACAGGCGTAAATAAATACATCGTATTTGATTATTCAACAGAATAAAATATTGAGTTCAATAAATGGAACCAACCTTATCGTGAGGCACCACCGTCGAAAGGCGGGGGCTAGAGACAGGGCGTGGTCGACCATATATTATGATAAAGCCTGTTTTTGCGGCTTGTCATAAGTTGAGAACTCGAAACACCTCCCACCCCCCCACACTTTTTTGAACAAGTGATATAAGGGCGTAGATCACGAGAGACCATAACCAGCGCTGAGCTAGGCCAGAGGGTCCCCGAGGATCGAAGGAGTGCGTGCGCAAAATACGAGTATTATCGAGTAGTAAGGACTGATATTTATCGACCGCAGAAGATAAAATCCGGACCATTACTGAGCAGTATAACCGGAAGACTGTCTAAAATCTCGAATGCTCAATCAGCTAGAGATTAGAACTTTGCCCAGTTCGGAGAACTGACTGACCAAACCGAGTACGCTCGCTTGAGTGTTTGTCGAGTTGGTAAGGTTTGATGAATCGTGCTCGGCTGGCTCCAAATAGCCGCGGAGCAGATCTGCTCAATGGGCAGAGCCGCCGCGTACGCTTTTGACGCAGCCACTGCTCTAACCTAATGAGCCTTCAACCTGGTAGGGGGGTCCCTGCCTGTAAGCGTATACGCTGTACAAATGTTTGAAACTATCCACCTCGAGATAGATTGTTTACTCGCAGGTGAGCCAACCTTCCTACCGCAGTAACAGCAAAATAGTTGGTTATCCTTACGGATTTCTGCTGATATAGGCCTTGAGAGTCGTGCGGACATCCAAGACATGAGCATGTCTTGCAGTGGTCCCCGACGAGGAAGGCTGTGAAAGAGCGGGTAGCTCAATAGGAGCCGTTCACGTGGAATCGTGTGCGACCCTAGGACGGTAATAGTCCGGTAGACGAAAACTGACTGTCCCGGTGATATTTATCGACCCCATGGAAGACAGTTATTTTGGGATCGGCTGACATAACACGAATGTCGCCTACCCGTCTGCCGGACGTTACCACCACAAGGAACGCCGTCTCCCAGCTCAACAGCTGAAGAGAGAGAGACGACAGATCCCGAAAGGAAGGACCGGACAGCCAATCTAGAATGATTGACAAGTCCCAAGGGGGACTGATCCGCCGGACTGGCGGTCGGATCCTGTCCACACCTGCTAAAAAGCGCTGCACTAATGGATGTGCACCCAGAAGTGCCCCGTCGACAGGGACGTGAAAAGCTGCGATAGCTGTAGAGTACCCTCGGACTGTTGATGCGGCCAGGCCGTCATCTAGTCGCGACTGGAGAAACTCAAGCACGGATACGAGATCTGCAGAAAAAAGATCTGCAATCCCTCTATCGACACACCTGGGCGCATAGCAGGCCTATCTATCGTACTGAACGTTTGTCGAATCCCTCCGCGAAGCCAGTATTGTGTCTGCAACTCGTGCAGGAATACCGCTCTTCTGGAGGCGATTCCTGACAGTGGCCAAGCCACCCATTGAATCCTGAGATTCGGGTGGAGGGCCCCGTTCTGGGATAGGAGGTCCGGTCGTAAAGGTAATATAACAGGAGGCTGAGCCAGAAACCTGAGTATTACTGGAAACCCACTCTGCGCCGACTAAAGAGGTGCCAGGAGCACAATTAGTCGCGCAGGCTGAGTGCCTAGCTGAGACAGGACCTTGGAAATCAGAGGTACTGGGGAGAATGCCCACAGAACTGTCCGTCCAATCTAGCTGAAAGGCGTCCGGTGCCACCGACCTCGGGTCGTGGACTCGGGAGCAGAACGTTGGTGTCTGGTTATTTAACCCAGACGCAAACAGATCCACCTGTAACGACCTGTATAACAGGGAGAAAATCCCGAATATCCCCGGGTCGAGCCTCCACTCGTGAGGAGCGAGGATCCGGCAAGACAGAGCGTCCGCACGGACGTTGTCCACCCCCGGGAGATAAACAGGTAGCACCCTGATATCGTGAGAGTCGCACTATAGTAGGAACTGCCACGTCTTTCGTCGAAGCGACGGAGACGCCGTTCCCCCCTGCTTCCGGATGTAAGTCATCGCCGTTTGGTTGTCCATCTCTAGACGAACCACTTGGCCACGAAGCAGATCCGGGAAGCGTTGGAACACCAACCTGACCGCTCTCAGTTCTAGCACATTGATATGCAGTTTGATCTCCTGCTGGGACCATAGTCCCGAGGCAGTGTGATCATTCAGAACGCCTCCCCAGCCGGAGAGTGACGCGTCTGTTTGAACTGTGAGAGACGGAACGGGAGTGATTCCCGACCTCGGTCCACCACTGGAGGTGTGTAATGAGCCACTACGGAGTCTCGAGCACAGTCTCGAGATCTTCCGAGTTCGCCCAAAGTCGACGGAGTGCTTGTTGAATGGGACTCATTCTCAAGCGCGCCCGCCAGACCAAATCCACTGTCGCCGCCATGTTGTCCAGTAACTGGAGCCATGTACGAGCAGTGTGACTTGCGCTTAAGGGACTTGATATCTTGTGACAGAGATACACGTCCTCTCACCGTGTTGAAATTAGCCACTAGGAAGACTAGATTCTGAGTGGGGCTCAGATCTGACTTCTTGAGATTGACCATCCACCCTAGAGTGATCAGAATATCTATCACTTGTTGTGTAGCTATCTGACTCAGGGATTGCAATAGAGCTCTTAGTAACCTAGTCGTCGAGGTACGGATGGCAGAACCGACCTTTTGACCTGGCCACTTGGGCGGGAATCAACATCAGCTTGGTGAACACCCTCGGGGCCGTGGAGATCCCGAATGGTAGAACCCTGAACTGATAACACCTCCCGTCGAAAGAAAACCTCAGGTATTTCTTGAACTCTGGATGTATTGGTATGTGGAGATAGGCGTATTTTAAGTCTATTGACGTTAGCCATTCTCCTGTCTCGACAGTTGAGATCACTGTTTGGTGACTAGGAAACAAGTCGAGTAGAAGCCCTCGCTTTCCTGTCCCTCGGGACCCGGTTCGATCGCAGCTTTCATAAGAAGTGCGTCGACCTCGGCACGGAGGAATTCCGCCTTCTCTCGGGTAGCAGGCACCGGTGTGTGCTTTATCCCGGAAAAGTGGAGGAGCGGATGAGTTTTCCCGATAACTTGCGACTATGGGTTCACCCGGGGCTCTTCGGGCGCTAATGGGAACCCATCGTTCCCAGCCCCGCGAAAAAGCTGTTGGCCTCGACCAGCTGCCTTGCCCCGGCCCGTGCCTCTCTTGCTCCTCACGGCGCCCTTATACCTGAAGGAAGCGGCGGCTTCCAAGCAGGTGTGGACGTCTGACCCGTGCGTTAGCGTAGGAGGGGACAATTGGAGAGGCCCGCTTACGCGGTACCTCCAACAAGGCCTTATGAGTCTTTGATGGAAGTATACAATTGAGCAGCCTCTCGGACCGCCTGCTGAGCCCCAGGGAAGAGGGTGGCACCCTCTTATACGGCAAAGCAAGTAGGTCTTGGCGTGTGTAAGTCGAGTATTTAGATACCGACATCCACCGCCTGCGCATGCACATAACAGCGCACATCATCTGCGATGCACAGCTACGAATAGCGTCCCGCGCAAGATAATGTTAGTTGCGCGGCCAACTCCGAAGAGTCGGCCGGCCCCTCTCCCGCTAACTCCCTCTGTACAGCCGACAGATACGCGGAGTGTACGGACACACGGAGCTGTTGGCATGCATTATGATATTGCTCCTCGAAGCATATGTAAGCAGCCTTCAACTCCGCACCGCACACGGGAAAGGGGGGGCAACCGCCGGCCCTGCTTGACCTTAGTCAAGTTGGGTGTCTCCGACTCTGGCATGGGCGCAGCAACCTGAGGCAGTACATGGACAATCCTGTCCCGCACGTGTCTCTGCACCCGGCCCGAGGCCGAGTCCCGGTGCCGAGGTGCCGGAGGTTCAAGGGAACCCACCTGGCACTGGGCTAGGTATCCACTAGTGAAAGCCTTGGCCTCGGAAGAGGCGTCTGGCTCCGCTAGGGTAAATTGTGCGTCGGTAGTGCACGGGCCGGTGCCCGCCACCACTACGCTGGGGAGCGACCTCGAGCCGGAGCCGAAGCTCGGTCTCGGATCGTCCCCGAGACAAAGGGAACCAACCTGGCTCCGGGCTAGGTATCCACTAGTGGACGCCTCGGCCTCGGAAGAGGCGTCTGGCTCCGCTAGGGAAAATTGTGCGTCGGTAGTGCACGGGCCGGTGCCCGCCACCACTACGCTGGGGAGCGACCTCGAGCCGGAGCCGAAGCTCGGTCTCGGATCGTCCCCGAGACAAAGGGAACCAACCTGGCTCCGGGCTAGGTATCCACTAGTGGACGCCTCGGCCTCGGAAGAGGCGTCTGGCTCCGCTAGGGAAAATTGTGCGTCGGTAGTGCACGGGCCGGTGCCCGCCACCACTACGCTGGGGAGCGACCTCGAGCCGGAGCCGAAGCTCGGTCTCGGATCGTCCCCGAGACCAAGGGAACCCCCCTGGCTCCGGGCTACGAATCCACTAGTGAAAGCCTCGGCCTCGGAAGAGGCGTCTGGCTCCGCTAGGGAAAAATTGTGCGTCGGTAGTGCACGGGCCGGCGCCCGCCACCCCTCCGCTGGGGAGCGACCTCGAGCCGGCGCCGAAGCCCGGTCTGAGATCGTCCCCGAGACCAAGTTGCCTGCCTCGGCCAACGCCGGGCATATCACAAGGTCTCGAAGCCGCGTCCGGCGCCGACAACGGGGAAGGCTCGGTCCGCATCTCCTCTCGGAGCTGAGACTACCTCCTCCATCATCGACGCCATCTGCGACTTAAGTAACGCAGAAAAGTCTGCCAAAGACAGTGCAGGAGAGGGTGCAGTGCTTACTACGGGGACCCTCGAGCCTTCTCCCCCGGCCCCCGGAGAGGGAGCGGGGGAGACAATCTCGGCAGCTTTTTTACCCTTTTTAGATGGGGAGGGGGGGATGTCTTAGTAGATCTGATATCTACCCCCGCCTTTAATAGACCTCTTTAAAGTGGAACAAGTAAACTTGTCTCTTTTGGGGGCCCCGGGGGGTAAAGGCAATGCCCTCCGCCAGACATATTCGGCAGCGTTCGTGCCTGTCTTAGAACAACCCGTACACAGTTTGAAGGTCTTGTAAACAAGACCGTAATTTCTGAGGTGGGCGGGAAGGGTATCAGCGTGTATCAGTGCGATATAAAGATCGGAAAGAAACGTGCATAAATTGTGAAACTAGAAGCAAAGGCGTAATGTAGAATGCGATTTGTAACGCGATACTAATAGCCAATGTAGTATAATTATAACACCAAAGGGGCGTGTTACGCGCTAAGGTGTAAAAACCCGTAAAAAAGGTAAGTGTAGTTTATGAATTAACACACCACCTTGGGTTTTGTAAAGGAAAAAATTGTAGACCAATGCTGTATGATATAACAAAACCCCAAGCCGTTTCTTAATGGCCTTGGTGTTACATGTATCAGCCCGTGGAACTACAATATGGACGCCATTACGGCCATTTGAATTCAAAGGTACCGTGCACGTGGCGTATTATTACAACTCTATAACTTCACAATGCGAGGTATTACGCCTTTGCAAAGAAAGAAATGTACCATACATACAGTTTGGTCAGCCATGGTTCTTGTCGAACGATAGATTTCTCTTATTTTTGTCTTGTGTGAAAAATCAACACGTCTGTCTCTTACAGATGACATAAGGAAAGTGATTTGGGTGAGAGTTGCTCCCCCTGGCGTGAGGCGCCGTTGGGGGTGAGGCCCCGTAAGGGTGGTCGTATATCATACAAAAACGAAGTTTTTTGTGTGGTAACATTTTTTATTAAGGAAAATGGTTACAACTATGTCATATAGATTTTCTTGAGCAAGGAAAATGCAATAAGTGCCCCAAGGAGGATTTAATCAGAAAGAGAATAGGGGGGACTGGTAATTTTCAGAGTTGCCAGTCCACCAGGACTGGCAGTTTCAAAAGCCAGCGGGAACACTGCAGTCATAACACGTCATTTGTCTCGAATTTATCATCAGTATGATGCAGGGCTTCACACATGGTGCTATTTGCGATGCATAGAAGACAGTCTTGTGACATCATTATTTCATTTATTTTCAAGGACGTATGTTTAGTTCAAAAGTGTACCGTCGGTTTAAAATGATTTTTCTTGTTGACAAATCGAAGTACTAATTACTTGTGTATAATACGCACTTGTATAAAATACGCACCCCTAATTATTGGCAATTTAATCCAGAAAAATATATCACTCGTGTATAATACACACTGACTGGGCCTCAAGACAACTGTAAGCATGGAAAGGTGGGTGGGGCAGGCAGTGTCCAGACTTACCAGGAGTTATGGCCTTCTGAGATTCCTGCTTCTTCTTGGCCAGGAATGCAGCAAACCTTGGGATCTGCGTACTGCAAGGTGGCTTCTCCTCCCCTCGAGTAGGGGTGCCAGTTTTCTTGGCTGTGTGAATATAAACCATGAGACAACTGTAATTTAGAACATAGAATAAACGAGATATTATAACTAGGATCACTGGGGTAATCAGGGCTGGAGTGAGTGCCTTACATGGAATCTTTCTTTTCTTTTGTTGTTGTTTAATGCCTCACTGCAAGTCTGTAAATAATGAAGACCAGACCAGACAATCCAGTGACTGACATCATGAGCATCGATCCACGCAATTGGAATACGATGACATGCATCGACCAAGTCAGTCAGCCTGATCACCCAATCCCGTTAGTAGCCTCTTACGACAAGCATAGTCGCATTTTACTGCAAGCATGGGTTTCTGAAGACCTATTCTGTCTTATATTGAATCAGCAACACAGAAAAACACATGGTAAGGGTGAGTGAGTGAATGTTGTTTTAAGGCCACCGTCGGCAATAATCTAGCCACATTAGCTGTACCTAGCAGCTTGTCAATAATCGAACACACCATCACGATGACCCACAATTGATTGCAAAGGATGAGACAAAATACTGATAAATTATACATACTGTGAGCAGCAATTTGTTCTGTTAAAGTAACATAAGGTAGAGGGTTGCAGGGGTAGAAACTAACTATTTAGTTCACTGGTCCTTTTAATAATAACATATAGCCAAACCCTTAAAAATGGCAAATTTCTACTAGTCCTTATGATACCTTAACTATTGGGCAGTTTGGCAAGGACTACAGGACTAGCGCTAATTTCTAATGCTGGGGTTGCATTCCTTGAGAGCCATGCATCAGTCACTATTGATTCCAAACAACAATCATGAGTAAATGAAAAGTGTAGACTGCTCTTGCCATGAATGTAAAAGTGAGCTACAAATTTATGTAATGAGAATATTTTGACCATAAAGCCGACCATAACAGAATGTGATACTGTGGAGTTAGAGGACCAACCAGGATACAAAACGGTCCGACAAATGGATCAGTTACATATCTGCACAGACATGACTTGTAATAATTAGAGATTAAACCCTGAATACATATGTCTGCCATGGAAGAATTCACATGACAAAGCAGGAGGCTGCTTACGAGGATACCAAGCTAGCTGTTCAGTCCAGTTCGATATTCCAATAGAAATTCTAAATGCTGTGAAAGAGGATGGTTCACCTTAACCATTAAACATGTATGTGCATTGAAGCTGACATGGAAAGGGCTTGCCCGCACAACAAGGTATCTTCCCAAATGGTTGTGAGTTACTTACCTTTTTGCACCTTCTCGTCTAGTGCCTGGAGTAAAGTAGCCTTCCGCTCAGCACTGTTCATCTCTGGCTTCATCACCCCAAGGATGGCCTTCACGCCTGGACTTGTGTCCTTCACCCCCGGGGAGGATGGGGTCAAGTTCATGTCATCCTTCTTCTCAAATGTGCTTCTGCGAATTCTCTTGTTGCTAGGCTCAGCTACAGGTGTAGATGGTTTACGGTCAGCCTACAATGAGAATGTTTTTTCAAATAAATACAAACAATGAAAGTTCGCTGGGGTTTGGGGGACTATATTATTAAGGTGTACATTATAATGGCATGTATCACAAAAGTGACCCATGACGTAACTAAATCTGGGGCATAATAAACTTTTTGAATAAAACGTTCAGATCAGATTTCTGTGACATTTTGGGGGACATTGCTGTGAGCATCAGTATTGTTTCTGAGGAGATTGCTGAAATGCTAAAGTCATATTACTCGTAGAATGATAGAATGATAGATAGATGGACAACATTGACATTAGCGCACTATAATTCCAGTTCAAGTGAGCTCAGAAATGGACACAGACATCTAAGTAGACAGTGACAGTGATATATTTATTACCTGTGGTTTGGGCAAAGACCCTGACCGTTTCCTTTTCTGCGACATAGGTGTTTTGGCCTGCTTGAGGTTCGTAACAGCCTTCATCTGAGGAGTCATGGGTGATGGCCTGACCTGAGCCTCTACCTTGGGGGGTACCGGAGTACGAGGTGTGGTCTTCCTGGACCCTGCCTTGACTGCAGCTACAGGAGTTCCACACAGCTTGACTTCAGGCTTGGGGTCCTAGAACAGTGGCAGGAGTCAGATTGTGCACAGGGAGAGTTAGTGAGTTGGGTCTAATGCCGCTTTAAACAGTATTTCAGTTATCATGTCTACATGTAGAAGGAGACCCTGAAGTGATCCAAGTCTTGGACACTTACGACTTTTTTGAAGCCCTGAGCCTGGACAAACTAAGGACCATTATCAGAGCTGTTTTTTTTAAACCCTGACTATAGGAATAAAGATCCGGACATGCAGAAGGGACACAACTCTGTACATTAAATTTCATCACCTTAGGCAAATTAGACGATTGCACACTTCCATGTTCGCAATTATCAACAAATTTAAAACAGGGGCAAACATGAATGTAGGATTTAGAAATTTGTCTACAAGTACGAAGTGTGAAGTATGAACCCATATATACTCACACTGCAATGAAATCTGCAGCAGTTGGAGGATGGACCGGACCAGGGCCCCGTTCCACAAAGCGATCTTAGCGCTAGAAGATCGTAACTCCCATACTTTAACAAAGGCTTACGACAATCATAGCACTAAGATCGCTTTGTGGAACAGGACCCTGACACTTACTTCATGTGCCGAACTTACTGAATTTGGAGATGACAGATGATGCACAAAAGAGGAGTAAGGAGGTAACCCATCACTGCATCAGTGTGCATGGTGTATCAGGCCACTGGTTTCTCCACTACACATGAACACTCACCAGCTATTTGGAAGATTATGGATTCCGATAAAACCTATTGTGAAGGCCTACTAATAGTGTACTATGTTTACATGAATACTTGCCACATGACAAATACCTTGTGTGTGAGAACAGGTATTATGAGTATCACTAAATGCTGACTGGTTACACTCCTCGTCAAACTACAGCACACACTGTGATAAACCCTGTCTGTTACACAACTTGGTACTTTAGAACATCGGTCAAAAGGGCCACTACCTCCTCTACAGTCTTCTTGGCTGCCTTCTTCCCCCTCCCTCGTCTCTTGGCCTTCTTGGTGACACGCCCGGCCTGCTTCGTCTCCACTTCATCTGTGTCCATACTGTCACTCTGAAACAATGGGACACAGCATTTAGGACACAATATCCCCATGACAGGAAATTATCTTGGATTCTAAAATAAGTGCCCTTGGTAGGCAATTTGGAAAAAAATAAAATAATACCCTTCACCATGGACCTAAATTATTTAGGATCAAGTGTAGCTTATATAGCTTTTCAACACATCTATGTGCATTTATGGTGATTTTCAATGCTGATTGTTCATTTGAACTTGTTAAAGCAACATAATGTCCTGCCCTCTAAGTCCATTTTATTAGAAAGCCAAGTAGCTCCTTACCTGAACATTTTAGGAGCCAAACTTACGTTCATAGGATTAGGAGCCAACCTTTTATTCCATGGAGCCAGACTGAGAATCTGAGATGACATATGTTCACCCAGGTTTCATCTGAGATAGGACATATGTTCACCCAGGTTTCATCTGAGATAGGACATATGTTCACCCAGGTTTCATCTGAGATAGGACATATGTTCACCCAGGTTTCATCTGAGATAGGACATATGTTCACCCAGGATTCATCTGAGATAGGACATATGTTCACCCAGGTTTCATCTGAGATAGGACATATGTTCACCCAGGTTTCATCTGAGATAGGACATATGTTCACCCAGGTTTCATCTGAGATAGGACATATGTTCACCCAGGTTTCATCTGAGATAGGACATATGTTCACCCAGGTTTCATCTGAGATAGGACATATGTTCACCCAGGTTTCATCTGAGATAGGACATATGTTCACCCAGGTTTCATCTGAGATAGGACATATGTTCACCCAGGTTTCATCTGATATAGGACATATGTTCGCAGGGGTTTCAATTTGTGAAATCTAAAGATGGGTTTTTTGTTGTAATAATAGACAGGTAACATAATTATGTAAATTAATTCCTTTTGGTACAATATCACTTGTGTTCGTGTCAATGTAACAGGGTAAAAAATATCCCAGCTATTTATGAAACACCTCTAATTGCATTAACTGTAAATAAACAAGACAAAAAGTGAGCAGGGATCACTAATGCCTCCTACTTCGACTCCAACATATTTCTATGTACAAAACACACAAAAAGAAATGTTTCTCAGAAAATCTGCTCATCAAAATCAAATTTTGCATGCACCTCTCCTATTGGTATAGAAACTGTACCCCCTATTGGAAGAAAGTCCATGAAGTAGTTTTTTCAAGTTATAGGTCACACAAATGTTCAAGTAAAAAAAATATTCAAAGTTCAAAACATGAAAAACATCATGTTTTTCTTCTTCAGAAAATACACATATAAAAATTAAACTTCACACTGAAGCTCTTCTATTAGTATGGAAACTGTTCCCTAAATTTGAAAAGAATCCATGAAGTAGTTTTCTAGTTATAGGTCGCACAAATGTTTCAGTAAAAATATCTAAGTGAAACATACCTGTATTCGTTCAGAAAATCCTACCATTGAAAACAAACTTAGCATTGCACCTCTCCTATTGGTATAAATACTGTACCCCCAATTGGAAAAGAATCCATGACGTAAGTTATACACTGTTATCATGTTATAGGTTGCGAAAATGTTTCAGTAAAAAAATGAAACAATTTTTTTAAAAGCTGTATTTTTTCAAAAGATCCAAATATTGCCATCAAACTTCACACTGCACCTCTTCTATAGATACAAACGTGTTCCCTAAGTTTGAAAAGAATCTATGCAGTAGTTTTCACTTTATAGGTAACACAAAAAAATGTCCTTGTAGACGGAATTACCTCCGCCCTTTTAGGTCAGAGGTATAATAAAAATCATGACATGACACATTAATAATTTATTATGTGTATGACACTGGCCTTGCAAACATGAGTTAGTTAACATGATCTGGAAATTACTATCTATTCATAGTTTAAATAGATATTGTTGCCAGTTATGTTTACTTTTAGGAAGCCAAGTGGCAAGCAGAAGATAAATTGAAGTGGCCAATCATACATTTAAGTCGAATTGGAAACCAAAATGGTCACTACTTAGGGGGATGATGTCACATGTCTCCTTTGTTGTTGAGAACAGTATATCACATTTTCCCGAGGCAAGGGAGTTAACTGACTGTAAAAGGTAAGACCCCTTTATTATAATGTAGAACTTGATCATCGATCAGATCATCTTGACTTGGTGTTTGAAGCAAATGCAAGTGTTATGGGAAGGTGGAATCTGATTGGTGAATAGGAGGGGCAATGAAGGAACATAACTCAAAATAACTACTGGTGGCGCCAGGAGTTAGATTAGAAATTCCAGCCTAGTTCAGAAAGGGTGGAAACTGGACTTTTAGAGTTAACTCCCTTGCTTCGATAAGATGAGTACATGATTGTTGCCATCACAAATTTATAACACCGACATTCCGACTGTCACTTTCATGATCTGGTAAGCAATGCTCTGATTGGTTGGATGAAAGGTCGTTCTGACGTGACCCTTAATGGGCTGTCCTCAGATCTTTGTTTAGCGATAGCGAGAACTAAGAACTAAGATCTGATTTTAATGAGACTGGTTTACAAATTTATAACAAGGCCATGATTGCATCATGAATCCGAATAATAGGTATCCCATCAGGGTTGACATGTCATACATTTTTCTTAATTTTCTTTCTTAAAATGACAATGAGTAAGATGCTGAATAGCCTACTCAGAATTATAGATCAGCCTTCACCTGTTAACGAAGTACCTTGCCAAATTCCACATAGCTCAATGGTTAGTCTGTTGAAGAACACTACCTGGTATGTCAAGTGATTAAGGATTAGTTTGTGGATAACGAAAATCAGGGAAATATGTATCTTTAATGTTAACATGTTAAAATCTTTAACCATATGTTAACATTTTGGACAGTGTTTTAACAGACACAACCAAAGACATAAGAGAACAATCAACAATGATCAAGAAAATCCAGCGATGCATGTTGCAGTGAAATGTATATTGAGGAGTCTGTTCTTATCATGCTTACAGTTACACTTTCTTCTTGTCTCTGTTGATCATTTTTGGTCTTGGCGTCTCCAGGTTCAGCTTGCTGAGTGTAGTATTCTCTTAAAGCCTTCTGGAGCTTGTCAATCTGAAACACAGCAATCATGTACTGAACAGAACTGCACACAGTTGTCATTCTTTGGCTGTACTCTATGCATGAGTCAACTGTTAAAACATGAAGACATAAGTACATAGATTTCCATGTTTGAAATTCTAGGCTGTGTCGTGACTATGTACACCAGTGTTTACTTTTTTCCAGGTCTACCATGCTTAAAATGTCATAACCAGAATGTTAAAAATAAAGGTGAGGTGGGGTGAAATTGGGTTTAACGTTGCATCCAAGATTATTGTACTTATATAGTGGTGTGCTGCATGCGTGCATGTACTAATCCGGACTGATGCCGATTTATAGAGCTGGCTCGCTGAAATACCATGCCGCAGTTTAACATGAATGCCCCACTCAGACACAGTATACTGGCCCGAGCCGACCCGTCCTTGTTTTAGCCCCTTAATGCCGAGCGCCAGACAGGGTAACAAAAAGTACCATATTTTAGTGTCTTTTGGTATGACTAGGCCGGGGATCAAACCCCGGACCTTCCGCTCTCTGGGAAAACGCTCTACCACTAGACCACGGAGGCGGACTAAAAATTAAGGTGGGCCAATAGATTCAAATATCACAAAGTCCTAGGATCCACTCTTAATCCTAACACACTACACTGTTATGTCCAGAAGTACTTATGTGTCATCATTGTCATGGGTTGTGGCCTCAAAAGTCAAAACGGCCAGAAAAAAGAGTCAAAATGTCCATGATAATAATAAATGAATATTCAATGTGAGCAGGATGTGTACACAGTATACTTGTAAGATGTTGTTATTACATTGTAATATCTTCCAGTAGAGTTCATGTGTTGTTTTTACCAATCTCATCAATTTGCTTTGATCTCCGTACTGACCAGTGTACCAATCTGTTGCGAAAATATGAATAAACTTTTATCCTAATGATGAGTGAGTGAGTTGGGATTAACACCACTTTTAACAGTATTCCAGTTATATTGCGGTGTGTCAGCTTAATGTGGGAGGAAAGCTCGAAGTGATGCAGGTCTCAGACGTTTACCACTTCGGTGAAACCCACGAGCACGGGTATGGTGCTGACAAACCTAGAAACATAATCGGGGCGAACCGTGATTCGAACCCACAATCATAGGTTTCTGGCGGGCCCAAGGGACGCAACTCTGCACAGCGAATCACGGCACCTCAGACGACTGGGCCACCCGTGCCCCCGTATCCTAGTGATGAAACCTTTCAGTGATTTTATTTCAAACGAATCCATTTGTCATGTTTGTGAGTAGGAAAACTCAACTCCAGAATTCAGAACAGCCCCTTGGCAACAAGAACAAATCTTCGCGGCCTGCAGATTGTACAAGGGAGGCGACGTAACACCATCTGAGCTGCTTAACATAAGCCCTTCAAACCATGGACTAAGGGTTTAATATGTGATAGGGATGTGTGATATGTGATGTGTGATGTGTAGTGCTGAGTTATTGCTGAATTAACATCTGTGTGTATATCATGCACATTGTGTTATGAACTGTTATACAATGTATATAATACACAATACTTGAGTTTTGTCTTCTTTATTTTCTGTGTGGCGTTATGATTTTTTTTTGTGTGGCCGCTTTTACTTTTTATGGTGGCCATTTTGACAAAGGTGTGGCCGTTTAGACTTTACCTTTTGAGGCAGTTCTGACATGAGGCCGTTTTGACCTGCTCCCCATTGTCATGACAACTTAACTGCACTAAACAAAATGAATACAAAACAGTATCTAAATCATTCTTATTGGTCTGCAAACATCAAAAGTACTAAGCCTAGGAAGGATAAACCAGAATACTAGGGCTGGCTATCGATACTGATCATAGAGAGTGATAATCATCAACTGAATATCGATCAATTATAAATAAATATCGGTGAGGTAACTTTGAGCAAATTTGCAAAACAGTCTGAAAGAAATCAGCACACTTCATGACACTGGTGAGTGGTAACACATTTATGCATGGATTACTCATGGTTTATGTTAGATATTATTGATGACAATTTTTATATCGATAATCATTAATGTTTCTTCCCATCAACAATACTTGCAATTATTGATTTTTTCAGCCAGCCCTACAGTATGCTACTTGCTATTGAGGACATAGTGTAAATAATGCAGGTTGACCTTAACAGCAGGGTAAACACAAAACAAACATGCAAACAGTCTGACTGAGACTAAATGCGTAAGTTTACTCCAAAAATGAACATATACATAATATATTCATATGCAATCACTGGAAATTAATCAATTATTTACTCTTGGGAGTTGTGTACATGGTCAGAGTGTTTCTACCCCATATAAGGTAATACTGTTCGATATCAAGGTTAAGTTATCAAGTGATCAAGGGAGGGACCATGAAGTAGATGTCAACAGTCATTATCAATGATTATGCAATACAATATTTGGATTGATTTGAGTAAAATTGCTTTGGATGCTTGTATTTGGTGTGATCAGGGTTCAAAATTAGTCTGAGCCTAGATTAATCTCAGGTAAACTGGTGACATTTCCTTGTGGAGGCATCTGGACAACCATTCTGCCATTTGGCAGATGACAACTCTGTAGCAAATCCTGTTGCTGAATAGTAAAAATATGCTCATGCAATCTATTGTATACTGTTAACATGGTGAATAGGTGTCCAAACAATTCGCACACATATAATTCTCCATACCAAACAATATTTTGCTTTTAATGTCACCTTATTATAAGAGTACTTCAATAAAAAAACAGATTATGTTTCCAGTAAATTATCAGAGTAAATTGGCTTTGAAATGGATTAGGAAGGCTTACTATTGTTAAAACAAATGTTCATAAACAGGAATCTTGAGGAATCTCATCTCTAAAACCTTCTCGTACTATTATCAATGGAATTATTTGTTTGTTTTGAATATATGTTTAAATCAATGAAAATAAAATAAAATAAAATAATAATGTTTTATGCTATTTGGCTACCTCTTATACATGTTGTAGGCCTAGGCCTCATACAGAAAATATGGGAGAGAAGTATAGGCCTACATCTGGGGAATTGTCTGTGCGGGTTTGTGTGTGCTGAACTTGTTGACGATTAAACTTTATCATCATATTTACTCCACGAGATTTTCGAAAGTCTTGATATCACCATATATTTGAAATCCAACAAACGTCAGTCGGAATTTACATACGAAGCCATTTCATCAAACATCGCAAACTCTCATCAGCTGACATTTCAATTTCAAGGACAACAAAATATACAAACCTTTACATTGGCTTTTATGCCAACACCTTTAGCTATCTTTTGCAATTCACTATATTTCATATCATCTATATTCTTCAACATTTGTTCCATTTTGTTAGATTATATTAATCCTGTCCCGAAGCGGAAATCACACACATCAACACTGGCAACATCCACATTCGAAAACTGTGTCGCTTCTTTTGATTGGTCAGGAGAAACGTTGTCAACCACGTTATTTATTACCTCCCCTTGTGTTGAGTATTTTGTGTTCCTACTTACAAAAAGTGTTCATCGTTCACGCTTCAAATTTAAATATTCTCTAAAAAGCATTCCAATTTGATATCACAACGTTATATGACTGTTCAAAGTTGAGTAATATGAATATCCACTTAACAGTGTTTGAAAATGAAACTTGACTCTGACGATGTACTTTTCAAGTTTGTTACCTTTTGTTCAGAGGGTAAGATATATCATTACACCGGTATTACCGAAGTCATTGAAACGCGTGAATGATAGAGCTGACGCAAAAGTTGTACCAGATGCATTGACAGCTAAATATCGACTCTGCCTTAAGGTTTTTGTCATACGTATATGTAACAAGGATACTGTCGACATAATATTTCGTGAAACTTGTGGCGCGAGATGGAAATAAACAAACTCTATTGTCAAATTCTGCTTTCCACGAAACCTATTATATTAAAATATATTAGCGTGAGCTTCAAACGGGTGCGATACGTTCAATTCATTATTGACAGTTGTCTTCTGCGTGATATGAATTTTGTTTGTGATATTTAAGAGTCAACGGAAAGTGTCATTTTCCTTCCATAATTTCCAAACCTTTTCACACTGTTCCTACCTGGCAATCATAAATATTTTGAATGAGGTCAATGAAGCCGCACTTTATTGTTCATGACCATACTATATTCATAAGTGTTTGACACATAAGTATACAAAAATGGAAAAGTAACATCACATTCAAGTTATGGACCATTGTTGTCTTTAGAAAATTACTTATTATCCAGCACACTACATGCATGCCTTTACATCTAAATCAACCCGGGACAAACACGTTTCTTGGGTTTGATGTGTGTGTATATTGTTTCGCCGCACTCATCAGGCGGTGGTCAATTAATTGTTTTCATATATTATGAGAAACGATCAAAACCGTTGGTGTACGATGACAAGCCATCAACCAATTTAGTCAGCCGATCAGTAAAATCGCCACTTAGGTTCCGTGGTCTAGTGGATAGAACATCTGCCCGGAGTGTGGAAGGTCGGTGGTTCGAACCCCTGGCCGTGTCATACGAAAAATAAAAGACGTTACTTTTTGTTGCCCTGCCTGGCGCTCGCCATTAAGGCAATGAAGCAAGAACCCACGGGCTCAAAGTCTGTCTATTGTGTCTCAGGGGTTAAACTGCAGCATGGTATCTCAGTTGGCTAACACTATAAACCCCGCAGAAGATTAGCCCCGACTTACCCATAGTTAGTCATGCACTCGCATGTGTGTAATATTGATTTTACGAAACTCATGTAAGCTCTCTCGTTTTGTCTATTTCATGCAAAGTATTTCGTAATTCCTTTATGGAATGGCGTGTATATAAATTTTATGTGTTGAGTATCTTGGATTTTATATGAAAATAGTACTGTACACACATGATTGTTAGACACCTGTTCGTCTATATGTCTGTTGACTTGCGACGATCGCCACGCCCTTTTTAAAGTCTTTAGCCCATTGGTCAGTAAAGTAATAGTCACACTTATTGTTGGCATCTCCATAAGTTTTGGGTCCGAGTTGGATTTAGAAAGAGTAATCTCCCCTGTGAAAACCCCGTAACCACGCACCAAGCTATGCTCCAGTAGACGACTCAAATAAGTCTTAACATGTTAATAAGTCGTTGCGAAAATACTTTATCGCTGTGAGGTCAAATGTTAGTCAGGAACCGATTGGACATGTCAACATGGTACACTAGACAGTGGTAACCGTAGTAAGCGGTAAATTCAGGATGGCGACGAAAGTTGCAAATGGTGATGTAAAAAATGTGGACATAAAAGCAGCCAGGGATGGACAGAAAGAGGCTGTGACAAGCCTCACTGGAATGTATATTCTGGTTGCAGCCTTGGTTGCTATTGCATGGGGGCTCGGCTGCTATGGATGTTCATTCCTGTGGGTATTCTTTCTAGTTTCTTGTTTATTTGTGATATGGAGAGCTAAGATCAGTCGGATTATCAAAAGACACTTGGATTTTGAAGAGGCAACTTTACACAGAAAAAGAGCATTGCGACAGAGCGAGACTGTGGAATGGCTTAACTTTCTGCTGAATAGATGGTAAGTTCATGTTTTGTCTTAACATGTGTGAGTTCGGACGCGTGGCGTTAGCATTCGATGTCAACATTGGATATTGACAGGTGGAATTTGCAATGTGACAGCTTCATTAGAACTCAGGAAAAAGTATCTTTGTCTTTTTGTAACAACATCATAAAATTGCTATTAAGAGAAATCGTCATTTCTTCATCTGATAACATTTGAAACAATTGCTTAAAACTAGATGAATTAATTAGTCTTTTTGTGTGTCATTGTGAACAAATTTTAATTTAAAATATCACGTTGATAGACAAATTTAGACTTCTAAAATAATTGTCAGGCTCCCCAAAGTGCATGTAGCCTGCAGAAGCAGCTCGTGTTTCCTGCTTGAACAGTTGCCCTTGATAGTCGTCCCAGCATGAACTGCTGAAATGTACACGCTTGACTGCTTAGCCAGCAGAGCGTCACTTATTCACATACAGTGAAGGCGAATATCTCTGCGAACAGTATATTCCCACCTGTAATCAGGTCAGCATATTGCCTTGATGCAGCACACCTGACAATGAGAACTGACATTATTCCTCTGCTCCTTTGTTGATCTCACATGTGAATGAATAAATTTTCAGTGCAATGACAAGTCAAAGAGTGTTAGTACTACTTGAGTCTTAATTAGGTATTAACAATATTCCACCTAGGTCGAGGTTTGCAGCTCTGCTGTCTCAAGGGAGTCACTGTGACATTGCTTGTATAAAATGATTTTGTGAAGATATATATCTAGCGTATCTGGTTACATCCTTTTGTGCTCTGTGTGCAAACCAAAATGGACAGGCAATGCATATTATACATCAAACCACAATGAATCATATGTTTCCCCATAATATCATTTGGCCCTTGGTACAAACTACATTATTACTAAAGTTAGTAACACCCATGCAAAGTACCTGGATACATAAACCAGATTAAAATGGGCAAATACTGTATTCGACGTAATAAGCTCCCAGGGCGCTCTCAAAATTAGAAACAGGGGGCTCTTAGAATATTATTTTGGTGAAAAAACTAGAGTTGAAAGACAAATATCGTGGTTTATGACAGCTGAAATGTTTATGTACGACATAGATTCTTTCCAGAATTTAATTGCCATTAATTAAGGGTGCATATAACACACGAGTGCGTATTGTACGCGCATAAATAAATCTTTTGTACATTGATCAATCGGAAGGGGTGCTAATTGGGATTGTTCATTAGCCAATATATTAGCAAATATCGCAGTGGGTGCTTGTTAGACCACAGCGCTTATTAAGTCGAATACAGTATGCTATAAGAAAGCTTCAGGATAGCTAAGGATGTTTTTATTATAAAAATGTTGAAAAAACCCTGGTAATATCAGGTAGACAGATCTAAGGAGAACCAAGATGACAACAGGAGTATCAGGATGGGAGGATGGGACTAAAAATGTTCTTTTATTTGTTCAGATGTGTTTCTACATTTTCATATGCCTACATGCCCTTGCAATGTCGGTGGTAAAGTTATCCAATTGAGATGGCTGTCAAGCCTGTCAGGAGTTTATCTTCAGTTTACAGATCACAAGTCGTATATATTTTATATATATAAACAGACATATGGCTCTCATCATCAGCGAGTGTCTGGCAGATGTCTCGAAATATCTTCATCTGCTTTTTTCACCTTGCAAGACAGGTTATTTCAACATTTTGCATGATCAGTTTCTAACAATGGTGCACATGCACGCAGTAAATATTTGCGTAAGGAAATATGATATATTCTTAAATAGGATGTTTGTTGTAGTTTCAGCTTGTTAAACGGGTGTTGGTTTCTTAAGGTATATTATTGGGTACATATGTTGAAGCTGAAAAGTAAGGGAACATGCAGAAATATTGCAGAAGAAAGTTTACATGTGTTTTCAATAAAAATGCTTCTTAAGCATGGTATGTTGATAGTTGGTATGTCACCTCTTTGCTAAAACATGGTGATCATCTTAAAAGGATTAATTGGACATAATTTTGTACTTTGACAAAAATTGTTCCACATATGTCTGTCCCTTTATATCCTTCAATAAGTAGATTTTAATATCCACTTTTTTGTTGTTGTTGTTTGTTTGTTGTTTAACTCCTCACTCAGCAATATTCCAGCTATATGACAGCAGTCTGTAAATAATCAAGTCTGGACCAGACCATCCAGTGATTGACATCATGATCATCGATCCACACAATTGAGAAACGATGACATGCATAAACCAAGTCAGCGAGCCTGACTACCTGATCCCTTAAGTCGCCTTTTAAGACAAGCATAGTTGCCTTTCATGGCAAGCATGGGTTGCTAAAGACCTATTCTACCCAGGATCTTCACGGTTGATATCCAGTTGTAACTCTGTGAATATGTTAGTCACTAGTCCTTTTAGCATGTTCAGTGAAACTGTTGACTCAGCAGTGTTTGAATTTAGGCCTGAAAGTCAAGTGGGTCTTTGTCATTACCATGGCTACCCCTAATTTTAAAAGTATAACTTAAGGGGGTCTATTACTTCAAATGGTCAAGTACTTTAGCAGTTGACCTCAAGGACCAGGATCCTTCATGTGGGTCACTGTATTGGGCAATCTTTCAAAAAAACATGATTTCAATTGGTATTGATATGGATTGCTTGACAACTGAACATGCTGTTTTGGTTATATGAGACTATAGTGCTCTTAACTGAGCCTGTATCCATGATATAATATATCAAAATGTTCATTTAGTAAAAAGTGGTCCACATTTGTGCAGAAACACTGAAACATTTGTTGCTATTATAACAGAATCCTAAATCAAGCACATTTGAATAGGATAAAAATTGCCATAACATCTGTTACATATTGTAACGGTAGTTGTCAATGACATGAAGGTTGACTGTTTTGAATGAATAGTCATCACAATGTATTTGGAAAATACATTTATATGAGTTATTGACTGAACCGCTGTGTTTTGTTTTTGCAAAGAATAGATTTTGGGTGCCAAATGGTACAGAGAGAAAAAATGCCAGTTTTAAGTCATGAGTGTAGCATGAATCACAGTTCTGCTTATTTCAGTTTTCTCTTTCACAATTCGGTCGGTCGGGTAGCCTAGTGGTTAAAGTGTTCGCTCATCACGCTGAAGACCCGGGTTCGATTCCCAACATGGCTACGATGTGTGAAGCCCATTTCTGGTGTCCCCCGCCGTGATATTGCTGGAATATTGCTAAAAGCGGCGTAAAACCATACTCACTCACTCACTCTTTCACAATTCAGGTGGGAAGTCCATTGTCCAGTTGTATTAAAGCATTGACAGATTCTGAAGATGATAGCAATGTTTAGGTAGCCTAGTGGTTAAAGCGTTCACTTGTTATGCCAAAGTTGGGGTTGGATTTCTCACATGGGTAAAATGTGTGAAGCCCATTTCTGGTGTCCCCTTGCTAAGATATTGTTGAAAGCAGCATAAAACTATGCTCACTCACACTCTCAAGACAATTACTCTCAGGAAAACATGAACTGAAATACTGCCGAAGCAGGTGGACACTTAACATGTTCATCAGTTGTAGGCTTTTTTTTTTCAAATTGTATATTTTTTCAAATTCTCAAACAACGTGGTCTGTAGGGCTTGGACAGGTAACTCGGGTGCTCAGGTCCGGTGGGTACTGAGTGGGTACCCACAGGACTACCCGGACCCGTGGTTAGTCACGTGATATATTGTTTAATGACAAAAATTATCTGGAACTTGATAGTTACACTACAAGTCACCAATGTTCGCATTATATTCTGACCGTGCACTCATTCCTTCTGAAATTTATATGTTTGAATAAAGATAAAACTTCAGTAAACTTCAGTGTATGCATTGCCAGATTGTTTTATACGTGTATCTAATACATTTTCCCATGGCGACAGTCAAAGAATTCCCAATCAGTACCCAACTCTTGAGACCTACAGTGGATGCCCAGGTATGGTCGGGTAATCGTGGTAATAGAGAGTAGGTCCTCCGGTAGTATATTTGGACCTGTCCCAGCCCTAGAGGTCTGTGATGCTGAAAGGTTGATTGTATTTTTTAAAGCTATATTGCTCTGAAAGCTGTCAACAGACTTCAGGTCCCATTTTAGACAGGGCATCCATAGCAAATATATTGAAAATGTAATGTGTGCCATGTGCTAAGGCATTTTTAGAATTATCATGAAATGAAATTTGAAATGCAGTAAGATTGTGGTATGCAACATAGCATATAATATGATTTATACTATGGCATATGATTAAATATTCATACATTTTTGTTGCTGGCATATTCCTGTTTGCCCCCTTTTAAGTATGACCTTTAACATCTTCGAATATTGTGTTGCAAATATTCCAGTAAAATTCAGGTGAGCTGAAGAGCCATCTTTCTCAATCTTTGTGGAGTTCAAATCCAGGTGTTTACAGGAAATGAATAAAGAAAACTAAACAGCTAAATGTACACATACTATATATATTCGCTTTCAGGCATCATTTGTTACTATGAACTCACAATGCCATTTAGAAAGTGGGATTCGAACCCACACTGCCAGAATAAGGCACCTAATCGCCAGCACACAAGGTCAGCTTTTGGCCAATTGGAGCCGTGCCAATTTACACTTGTTGGTTGGTTGTTGTTTGTTTGTCGTTTAGAGCCGCACTCAGCAATATTCCAGCTATATGACGGCAGTCTGTAAATATTCGAGTCTGGACCAGGCAATCCATTGATTGACATCATGAGCATCAATCAACGCTATTTGATTTACACTTGTTAGAGGGGTACACAAAGTACATAATCCAGACTACCAGTTGTCAGACTTTCATTTTGTGGAAGCCTTGGTGGCTGAGTGGGTTAGATTGCTGACTTTGCGTGTTGGCAATTAGGTGCCTCTCTCTGGCAGTGAGGGTTCGAATCCTGCATGGGACTCAACCCCTGCCCCACCAAAAAACAAAAGTTCGAGAATCTGTACTTTATTGAGAAAGTGTTATCCCAAATAGAACATTTGTTAGCATATGTTACTGTTCAGACTGAATAACACACCCAGGATCACCTGAACTTTGTATGGGAATTGTGAATTATTTGTAACCCAATTGTACTTGAGGGATTGTGAGTACTGTGTCATTGTGCGATGAGGTGTGTCAGGACAGATGTCGTGAGTGGTGTGCTCGGTGGTGTGTGACATGTCTATCACATAGGGCAAGCAGTGCTGCTTCACATTCCTGTCTTGCTGCCTTTGGCTAGTTCATCACTGAAAATATGGTGATGGCATCACTTTGCAAGCTATGTTGTTGTTTGTCACTGAAAATATGGTAATGGCATCACTTGGCAAGCTATGTTGTTGTTTGTCACTGAAAATATGGTGATGGCATCACTTTGCAAGCTATGTTGTTGTTTGTCACTGAAAATATGGTAATGGCATCACTTGGCAAGCTATGTTGTTGTTTGTCACTGAAAATATGGTGATGGCATCACTTGGCAAGCTATGTTGTTGTTCATCACTGAAAGTATGGTGATGGCATCACTTTGCAAGCTATGTTGTTGTTCATTCCTGAAAGTATGGTGATGGCATCACTTTGCAAGCTATGTTGTTGTTTGTCACTGAAAGTATGGTGATAGCATCACTTTTCAAGCTAAATGAATGTGTATAGCAGATTTAATGTGTACTGGTGTTTAGCTGGGTTGACCTCATGTATTTTCTAAAAATTTAGAATTTGAACAAATTCAAATTCTTTCTTGCAATTTATTTTGCTCTTTCTCCAAGTTATGGTGAAATGACTGGTATTGTCATTTTCATTGGTACAGCATTTTGAAAGAGAAAGAAATTTTGAGACACAAATTTGCTTGAGACACATAGCATTAGTATATTCTCAGTACACTTTTGACAGGACGGTCTTCGATGTCATTACCAAATTGGAAAATAATCTTTAGGATGTTGGATGACAGTCTTGATGTCCTAGAGAATCAACCAATCTGAAACCCTGGGACTCTTTTAATTTGGACTACATCAAGCTACCCTATTGATCAAGGACGATCAATCTGGTAAACCATAGACACCGGTGACATCATCATCATTACTTGTTTCACCTGAGAAGATCCGGGGTAGAATAGGTCTTCAGCATCCCATGCTTGTCTCCCCCCGTGAAGACCCGGGGTAGAATAGGTCTTCAGCTTCCCATGCTTGTCATAACAGGCAACTATGTTTGTCGTAAGAGGCGACTAACGGGATCGGGTGGTAAGGCTCGCTGACGTGGTTGATGCATGTTATCGAATCCCAATTTTTGAAAATCGATGATCATGATGTCAATTACTGAATTGTCTGGTCCAGACTTGATTATTTACAGACCGCTTTATATATAGCTGGAATATTGCTGAGTGTGGCATTAAACAAACAGACAAACATTATTTGTTTGTTATCAGTAAACACCTATGGTACGTTCTTTTTTTTTTAAATTTCAAAGATCATCCAGGTCATGCAGATGGCATGTCTAGTTACTGTTAACGTCCAAAAACTGGAGTGAATATTTTAGTTTGAGTAAAACAAAGACAACTGAAGACACTTGACTGCCATGGTTGATTGGTTTTCAAGAAGACGCTATTCACCCTTAACCTCTGGAATAAGTGATCTTATCTTTAATGCTGGTGTTAATTATTCATGGAGATAAATATTTGATGACAACTCTGATCACATTAAACAGTAAAGGAATAATGATTGGCCTTCAGCTGTCGAAGATACAACATTTTTCTTGATTATCGTGGAAATTAGCCTCCTACACCTGGTTTGGTAGATTGTACCCACACGCCTATATGAGGCTAGACCTAGATTGGTAGATGGTATATCCTTTGAGATATATTGACATGGATCACATCGACCTAGGAACATATTTGCAGGACTGCAAGTATTATATCTTTTATACATATGTTAGGTGCTATTGTACATGATATAAATACTAAAATGATATAAATATCAAAAACAATAGGAAGACAATATAAAACATTCTAAAATAATGCATGCAGTTGGACACTGATTATGTGGTTTGAATGAGACAAGAGTTTCCTTGTGAGTGGGGTGTTTTCTCAGTGTGTTTTGTTGGATGGGATCCCCACTGAGAAGTTTTCAAGTGTTTGAGTTAGCTATGTTCCCGCGTCGCTTCAACACAAAGGTGCGTCAGTCTGGATGTGCAGTTGAATGCACTGAAGCACATTTCAGCTTTATTGCTTGTGTTAGAGAGTGAAGGATCTGCTCCTGCTGGTACTGTGTGGTGGGTTATTGACGGCTGTGATCGCCCACAATGGCTTCTATAGTTAGCCGTAGTATTGCATGAAAATACGTTGAATACATTGTATGTCACATGCTGTATACCAGGCCAATGAGGCTTGAAAGTTTAATTTGGGTTGGGTTGCTTCAGCACCCTAAAATGGATCCACTGAGCCCCATGCTTGTCTCCAGAGCACCCTAAAATGGATCCCCAGTGCCCCATGCTTGTCTCTAGAGCACCCTAAAATGGATCCCTTGTGCTACTGCTTGTCTCTAAGGCACCCTAAAATAGGTCCCCAGTGCCCCATGCTTGTTTCTAGAGCACCTAAAATGGATCCCCTGTTTCCCATGCTTGTTGGAAGAGCACCCTCAAATGGATCCCCAGTACCCCATGCTTGTCTCTAGAGCACCCTAAAATGGATCCCCAGTGCCCCATGCTTGTTGGAAGGGCACCCTCAAAGGGAGCTCCAGTGCCCCATGCTTGTCTCAAGAGCACCCTCAAATGGATCCCCTGTACCCCATGCTTGTTGCTAGAGCACCCTCAAATGGATCCCCTGAGCCCTATGCTTGTCTCTAGTGCACCTTCAAATGAATCCCCTGTGCCCCATGCTTGTCTCTAGAGCACCCTCAAATGGATTCCCTGTACCCCATGCTTGTCTCTAGAGCACCCTCAAATGGATCCCTTGTGCCCCATACTTGTCTCTAGAGCACCCTAAAATGGGTCCGCTCTGCCCCATGCTTGTCTCAAGAGCACCCTCAAATGGATCCCCTGTGCCCCATGCTTGTCTCAAGAGCACCCTAAAATGGGTCCCCGGTGTCCCATGCCTTTCTCAAGAGGACCCTAAAAGGGAATCAGTTGGTCATACACTGTGATGTAGCTGGTTGTGTGTCACTGTACATACCCCAGTGGCTTGGATTGTTGCTCATGCTTGGATTGTTGGTGTCATGCTATGGTATAAACATGGACATTTACAGGCCATGGTGGTATGGCTGGAATATTGCTGACTGAGAAGTTCAGTAATATTCATTCCACTGCTTATGTCCATGAAACCCCTCAAAACCCTCATGTATATGCAAGTTCCACAGCACTTTCATGGGAAATGATATAGGTCCCCAGCTACATATGCTTGTTGTAAGTGGCGATTATACGATCTTGTGGTCAGGCTTGGTGACTTGGTTGATAGTCACTGTATCCCAATGGCGTGGATCAATTAATGTCCATGATGTCAATTACTGGATTGCATGGTCCAGACACACTTGTTTACAGACTCCTGTCATAAGCTGGAATATTGCTGAGTGCTGCGTTTAATACGGAACAATCAATCCGACAATGACACCGTGAAGCCAAGACTCATGCTCGGTGCTTCTCTCCTTATCATACTGAGCAAAAAAAGTGGGGGATCATGAATGGCTTGGGGAATATTTTTTGGTAGTGAGGACTGTGCGCACAATTTAATAAAACTACTCATATCCGAACAGATATTCATGATCCCTAACTTTTTTGTTCAGTATATATGCAGGAATAGAAATTAATTTATATTTTTATTAGTTCGTAAAAAGGATCTGCATGAGTTGCATCTTTGTTTAAGTGAGAGTGATTGTCCTCAAGGAAATGTCACTTGCCCTTCCTGAATTTTACTAGTCTCCGACTAGTGGACATATACCATGAAGCATATTTATCTGATCATTTAGTTGAGAGGGACGAACTGTTGGCCATATGTGCCATGGTTTCATGGATGATTGGGCTTGTGAGGTAGTTCAGTGACTGGTGTATGTGGTCAATATTCGGAATATCTTGGTGTGATTCTCGAACAGTTGAGACATATTTTGGCCGTACTTGATGACCATGGCAGAAATACAGCCCTGAGAGAGATGTGAGGCCTAAGTACTCTCTTGCCTTGCTTGCCGGGCCCTCCTCAAAACTGTCATTCCTGTTTCTGGAAATGCTTCAAAAGTCTGTGTATTTATGAACCAAGGTAAAAGGTTATCTTGGGTTAAGGATAGACTATTTCTATTTCCTTTTCAGGTTTGCACGAGGAATGTTTGTTTGGGACAGATCAATTTCACGTTAACACATGTAGACTATTTTAGCAACTGTAAGTGACAATGTTGTATGGGCATCCATTATACACTTATAATCCCTGCTTTCCTCTTGTAGCTTATTATTCTCAAGGTGGGCCTGAATAAATGTCTTTTTTTTTCTCATCTCAATGCATAATTTGGTTCAAACAAATGTCATAAGAGCACCACAGATGATGACATTGTTGACCCCTCATCTATATTAAGGTCAAGGTCATTGAGGTGAGATGTTTCTTGGTGTTTGTAGAAGAGCTTTATGAAGTCTGAAAAACCTCTCATGGGCAGATCCATGTCTATGATACGCCCACCTACCTTCACTTTTCATGAAACATTATACAAGCAGAGGCATTAATATATTTGGAGGTATAATGGGCTCTGTGTCGTGTTATCCATCTTATTCTTTATCCAAACATCAGGCTGTATGTCGCTCAATTTATATATTTCAGGTGGGTGTTTAGCTCCTCGACAATAGAAGATTTAGTCAAGAAGAGGTTGGATGACCGACTGCTTGCTATCAAACCTACATTTTTAGGTGAGTTGACGGACTTGCATCTTGTACCATGTTGTCCTGGATTATGGTAAACTGGATACATGCATACATACAGCCCACTTGCTCTACATTTACATTATATAGTGAATATACACAGGTTTTAGTTATACACAGCTGCAAATCTGCTTATATAGTTTCTCATACAATCCCTGAAACGAACATCCGAAAACTCCAAGTCTATATTTCTTCAATTCAGTCTGAAATTGAAGAGCTTTTTCTGGCTCTATTTTATTGTATATACTACTCCAAAAAGCTAAAGAACACCCAATTCTTACATGTTACTATAGTTATGTCATGTGATTAACTATAGTGCTATGAAATAATCATGTGTTCTTAACTTCTTTTGAGTAGTACTGTATTTAATCTATTAAGCGTCCTGCTCCAATATGTACCCCCTGACGAACTTCTCGACTAATCTGTAAGTAATCTTAATAAGCACACCCAACTAAGACTGAAACATTACATGACAGACCATATTTACTTGTGTATAATAAGGATTTGTTTACATAAAACAGAAGAGCATATAGGGCTATATAATTGCCTTGTTACTATTATTGATAAGTTTTACTTACATCAACGTTTGAACTAAGTTTGTTAACTACCGTTCAAACTCTGAAAACTTAACATTGCCTTGCAGTCACTCACTCACTCAATCGTACAGTTCAAGCATTTGGTGTTTCTTGAATCTGCATTGTAACCATGGTGATGAGGATGAACAAACATTTCAGCCCAGGTCTATCAGCATGTAAACCTGTAGTCACTCCAACATGTATATAATGTTGATAGCAGCTGACCCAGGCTGTTGCTGGTGGTGGCAGAAGACCACTTGAGGGGTTATCTCAAGATACACACAAACATGGTGGTGCTGATACTACGAGTCTGTGTCAGAGTGACCCGAGAGGGGGAGAGCAGCACATGTGTATGTCATACACTTTATTGCGTTACAAGTGTGCCACATTTACATTATAAAGCAGGTCCTTGAGGTATACTCCTACATGAATCTTGGGACCCTCTCAATTCCTTACATTAGAGTGAAGGTCTGATGTTTTATATTTGATATTCAGGGGGTAGGGAGGAAGAGCCTGGGATTATTGAACAAAAACCTGGAAAATACTGTTGAAAATTTAGTTTTCCACAAGTTATTCCAGAAAAAATAAATTGTTTACTGGAAAAGCTGGATGTCTTGAATAGAAATGTTTTGTGAAGCCAAAATGTTAACTTCTTCTTTTGGAGGGAAAACAGTTATATTTCTTGGAGCAGTAGCCCAAAAGATATTCTGTCACAACCAACATCCCATGTAACATGTCTTTTTTCATATATTCATTGACCCTTTCTCGTCGATACATTTTCCTGTCCGCTTTGCTTTATTCAAGATCATGATCTGAACTCCAGAGCGTTGCAATGCACCAGTATTCTAAAAGCAATCCTCTATAATCAGTTTAGATGGAGGAGGAGGTTTGCTGTCATTGGGGAACTGTAACTTGTTTGAAGAGAAAATGTTTATTTGAGAATATTATGAAGGATTACTCCAAATGTTGCTAGTGAGCAGTGCTGAAGAACTGTTGGCAGTGTAAGGTTTTACATACACAGGGGATACAATTTATACAGGAAATACAGCAGGGTTGTGAATGCGAAGTAGACATTTATTCATTAAATTGATACAAAAATTCAGTTGTCTCTCCGATTGTGTTGGTGGCATCACTTGGTTTGTTTTTGGAGAGAACAGCACAAGTTGATTCCTTCATGTATAACAGATCAAGTCACCAACATTTACAAACTCAGAGGAAAATTATTTGTATATGGCATGTGTATTAAACTATGTATAACCCTGCTTTCAAATATTGATCGAAATAAGTTGTATGCAAGCAGTACATACTGGAAGGTATGATAAGTATATTGTCTTTGAAGTGGACCATATATTTACCGGTATCACCTAACTTAGTAGGTGGTCATATTCAAGTGGAGAATCATTCGTGGTTGAAAGTGTGCAGTCTTAAAACTGACAACAGAGATTAAGTGGAAAGTGAAGTGTAGATATGGTTGCAGTCACATAAACTTGAAGATATCCGTTATCTGTATGAATGTGTAGAGCTGTCAGATTACTTGATATGACATGCTTCCAAAGAACATATGTGCATGAATAGTGAATGTTTACATGGCTCTTCAGTTATATTTCTCAGTACCGTCAACCCTTGTTAAGTAGATTCCACTGATCTAGAAAAATTGCTCTCAAGGTACAAAAAGAACTCATTAGTTTGGATCCTGCTAGTCTGGAAACTGCCCTGTGGAGATTTCGAGATAGGTGTGGTCCCCAGTAGTTAATGGGTCTGGTGGTCGGCTTGGTGAAGTTTTCATAATGTGTCATTGTACCCTGACGACATGTGATGATGCTTATAATATAAACGACTGGTTTTCTAGAGCTGGACTAGAGTTATGACGGGTAGATAAGAAGGACCCATGTCACAGTGCCTGATCCGGACTCAGGTACCAAATTTCATCTGTAATCAGCCACACAATCAACATTTTGTCTTTTTGTCTCAGACGTGAGTTACCTCCCCTGGTAAGGTATTCAAGTCCTTGACATTGGCCTCAAGTCCATCTCAGCCTCACCCTGCTCTCATACTCAAGTTTCTGTCTGAGCCCCATTGAAGACCCGGTTATAGCCTGTGAGCCAGATTAGTGGAAATATGTCCATCTTTGTACATGTTGTATGGTGTTCAATTAAATGATACTGCTTCAGATTTGCTGTGTAGCTTTCAACAACCCCAACTCTTGAACAATATGTACATCTAGATAAACTATCCTTACGGAATGTAGTGCTTATTGTTTACCATGATCAGATTTTGAGAACTTGATTTAATGGTATATCCAGAATGTCAATCACACTGTTTTATATCAAGTTAATTGTATGGACTTGCACGACGTGTATCACTTATCAACTCAAACCCATAGGCCACTTCACAAGTAACTTTATGCCAAAGGAGTTCCCTTTTTGACAAAAGGTAACTAATAAGTGTCATGTCTCATGACTATATTGAATGACCCTCCAGAGCAGAGGCAGTGGGGCTTGATAGTAACGTAGTGACACGCCTGGGGATAGAAAGTGATATTGAATAGTCTATAGAAACATGTCCTGTGTAGCTGATACTGTGTAGCCACAGGCTGCAAACCACACAATATGGCGACCTAGACCATTTGTCTAGACTGATTTGTAAAACTGAAGCTTTTATGGATAACAACTTCTTTATTGTTAAAAAAGTTGATATCTTGATGTTCACCAAACTTTTATTTTATTTGAAAAGATAAGGGAGTATTAAGAGAATTTCAGATGTTTCCTGTTGTGTTTAATTATAAGTACTGCATATTAATACAACAAGGCACATTGTGAAATAATAGTACAGTAAACACATGATATCTACATCATGTACGTACAGCATATTGTCTCAAATAAATGTTTCACTTTTTTATTTTCTAATATTTGTTCTGTTATTGTTCCTAATATTTGCATGTATGATTACTCTGTTCACATAAATTAGAAAAAGTTACAACTTTTTTTTTGCATGCAGCAGTATTTCAGCTATTGGACATCAGCCTCCTAATAATTGAGTCTGGAACAATCCAGTGTTTGATAATGTAATCAACAATGAGGATGATAATATGCAATCAACTAAGTAAACTAGACTGACCACCCAATCCATTTGGTCGCTAATTACCAAAGCATAGGTTGGGACCTATTCTAATCTGGAATCCCAATGCAGTCATCATCCACCATGACAAGTTGGTAAGGATGTACAGACATCTTTCTTTGTCTATCCTTGAGTGCCTTGGTTATGTTGTGTTTTCGGGATCACACTCAGCCACATTTAACTTGCCTGCAGGGTTAATGTTTGAAGGTTGGTAATATATATGGATGTTTTTCTGGAAAATGTACAGAAAAATTACATGCATTTGAAAAATAAATCTCACCAAACCTGTCTCTAGGTCATGATTAGCATGTGAACCTTGTGTTGTATTTCAGTAGAGACCAAACTGTTCCAGTCATAAACCTCAAGGTTGTCACATTGGACCAATGCAGTGCTAGCAGATTTATGAGAACATTGACTCCAGCCACAATCTCATCTATAGAAAACAAAAAATACAATACCAGGTTTAGTGGCCTGATACACGGCTGTTAATGTTGCATTATGTTTTTTCTATGGCATAAGGTGAGATTTGATGTCAGTTTGTGCACCATTTGCCTGTCTGGCTTTGACCTGGCTTTCATGAGCTGTCAGACAGATTTCAACATGGCCACCAGGACTTAATTAGAACTTAATTAGAACGAATTAATTGTGTATTGGGTTCAACAGATTTTCTAGTTCAGAATAGAACAATAAAGCCCCAAGCCATCTGGATAATATTATGTACTGGATCACATTACCCTGGTGTGCAATCAGTTGATTCCTATCTTTAATCTTATGATTCATGTACATGCTCCTTCTGTGCTGTTGGGATGACAACTGTCTATCATGAAATATTGAGTTATTTCTTTAGCTTTGCCCACAATTTCTATTTGAAATGACAATTAATTGCTGTATCATTTTAACATGTTTAAGGCAGATTTAGTTTCAATATTTTGTGTTTTTATGTAGGAATAAACGTAAAAACCTGTGTGCATACTGTGTAAATCTGTGTAGTGTAGTAGATTTACGCAAAGTGTGCACACATATTGAAGTCGTTATTGTTAAATCCTGCAATGATATAGGTGGCATTTTGATTATTGTGGAGTAAAACTACATTCTATCCCCCCAAGAGAAATCTTTAAACATGTTAAAATGGTCTCTATGTAAGGTTTAGAAAAGATTGGTTGAATGACTATTGTTTGACTGATGTTCTAATTAGCTAAGGGGGAAGAAATGGTAAACCTTTGTATATTGTTTTCGTGGAACTTTGTGTATCAGGATATATTGTATTGATTCATGAACAATGCACAGCCTATGTGT